GTTTTTAGCTTGGTGCCTCAATTGTCAGCAGGTGAAGTATGAGAACTAGAGACTGGGTGGTATGCTTCGGTAGATAGAGATTCTGGAGTGGAAGTGGGAGAGGATTGATAATAGGTGAATTTAACTATAATTAGGCCCTAAAGAACCACCTTCTTGTATAGTTTTGATGATAAAAGTGATAACAAAATGCTCTGATTAGTGCTTTTCATGCTTTGCAGGTGATATATGACAAGAGAAGGCTATGGAGTACTTTTGGGATCAAATATGGAGAAATAGAAGCCAATCGTAAAATTTTGCCAAATGAACCAAGTGAAGCAGCTCAAGCCAAGCCTGAAGAAGGACTGTCGCGGTTCCACCGCGACCGCGGCAGAACCGCGGTAGAAGACGGCCGCAGATAAGTTGAGATTCAGAGAAGGTGTGTGGCCGCGGTTTGACCGCGACCGCGGCAGAACCGCGGCAGAGGCGGAAAAGTTCAGGGACCTAAGTGCAAAACACGGGATTTTTAGCCCAAAACCCTATTTTAAATACTAGACTTCGCCCAAAGGAGGAAGGAATTGTATTGGAGAATATTTTAGCAAGGAAAACAATTGTGAGAGATCACCCAAAACATCTTTCTTCTTTTTTCTTTGATTCTTCTTGCAAGTTTTATGATGAATATTGTTTTAGTTTGTTTACCCATAGTTATGAGTAGCTAAATCCTTTGTCTAAGGTTTTGATGGAACCTATTGGGGGATGAACTTCTTGTTTATGTGAATACAAATTTCTAGTTCCAATCTCTATTTGTTCAACTATGTGTTTGTTGTAGTTAATTGACAGGATCCTCAATTAGCTGTGCCTATTTAGTGTGCATAACTCGGGAGAGAGTGCATATTTAGGTAATTGTTGAACAACACGACTCCCAAAGTATATGAGGGATCAATAACCGAGGGTTTGAAGGCGGGATTAGGGATAACGAAGCCTTGGGTGTAATCTAAAGTGAATTGTGTTAAATAAAGCAAGCTAGTGTATCTCGGGAGAGTGCAACTAGTAAATTACTGTGATTACTCGGGAGAGATTTACGGTAAGAAGAGCGTTAATGATTGATAGATATGTGTTGGTAAATTTGTATGAAGAATAAACAGAAGGAATTCCATCAATAGGGGAAATCAGTACCTTAGCACTTTCTCATTATTGTTTACAGCTTAGCATCTTTAATTTGTAGCTATTAGTTACTGTTGATCTTAGTTATTAAAAACACCATCAACTGTGATTCTCAACGTCTGGGAAATTGATTCTAAAGAGTTTAGTAGGTCTAAAGATAGTGATTGATAGGTTAATTCTCTGTGGATTCGACTCTGGGCACAATACTCAGGTTATATTTGCAACGTCCGCATTGTCCTTTTTATAAGGCATAGTTGGGCGTGATCAAATTTTGGCGCCGTTGCTGGGGAATTAACGGAATTATCAATTACCATTGATAGAAATACAAAAATTCTTAGTGTGGTCAGTTTTCTCTCTACCCAATTTTTCATTGAAATTTTGACGGTTGTTGATCTGGTTGCACAGGTGTATGCCTAGAAATTCTACGAGGACTGGAGAACTACTTGAAGGACTCTCAGAACCCGAGAAAACATTCTGGACATTGAACCGTGCCAACAAAAGACTTCAACAATCCCAACAAACACACAAATTCGAAAATGACGTGGGAGACGTAAACGACCCCAACAGAAACGTCAGGAATGAGCAAGTTGACTTAACTGCCAGAGAAGTGGCACCTCTTGTGCCTGAGGGTGCACTATATGACTGGGCACAACCCACAGCTGACAATCTGGCCACTGCCATTGTTGTGCCCGCAATACAAGCTGAATCGTTCCAGATCACAAATAACATGCTGCACGTGTTGCAAAACAAGGGACTCTTTTTTGGGACGCAAATAGAAGATCCTCAGCAGCACTTGAAGAACTTCCTGTCTATCTGCAAAACTCAAAGGCAACCCAACGTGACTCAGGAAGCAATCAGGCTGTTATTGTTTCCATTCTCGGTGACAGGAGCTGCTCAGGTTTGGCTAAACTCACTCCCCATAAACTCTATAGAAACTTGGGATGAGTTAGTCAAGCAATTTCATAACAAGTTCCACCCGCCCAACAAAACTGCTCAACAAATTGATGAGATCGTGAGCTTCAAACAGAAACCAATGGAGACACTGCATGAGACATGGGGCAGGTTTAAAGGAATGTTGGTTATGTGTCCCCACCACGGTGTTCCAGAACAGATGTTGGGACAACGGTTTTACATGGGACTGTCAGACAGCATGAAGAATATGTGGATGCCTCAGCTGGTGGGGCATTCTTGAGCAAAACCTGGAGAGAAGGCCAGAATCTGCTTGACAAGATGGCGCAGAATTCGGGGTGGACGACCACGAATGCACCTATCACTACAGTGGTGCACTCGGTGCCTCTTGATCCCTCAAATACCATGGCTGAAAATATGGCGACCCTCCTGACACAGATGAGCATACTCACCAAAAAGGTTGAGGAATCAGGGCAGAAACAGCAAGTACATATTGTAGACACTACTAACGGGGGCTTGTGCACATCTTGCATTAGCCAGCCAATTGGTAATCCTTGGAACGCAGAACATGATCATCAGCATCAACACCCTGAGGACATGAACTATGTGTCCAACTATGGAGGCCAGAGACAGGGCAATCAGAACTGGGGCCAGCAAAATCAGCAGCAATACAGGCCGGCGCAGCCACAGTTTAACACAGGAAACATGGGAGGTATGAGACCCCCCAACAATATGGCACCTTATCCCAGGCCACAGGGGTACAACAATCACAATCAGCAGCAAGGGTATCATCCACCTCAGTAGCAGCATGGTGGAAGACAAGANAAGATATAGAAATACTAAGAAAGGAAGATTTCCACCAAGGAGATCTAGGCAATACAACGAACAAGATAAGAACGATGGAAAATGCTACGAATGTGGAAAATTTGGACACATCCAAGCAGAGTGTCCAGAACTGAAAAGGAAGATCTCTAGAGGATTCAACAAGAACAAATCATTTGGAAGCTGGAGCGATGAGGATGACTCAGACCATGAAGAAATAGCAAATCTCTGCTTCATGACAATCCTAGAAAATGAGATCAACAAAACTTCAAGATGCTGGACAGATGAAGATGATTCAGACAATGAAAATTGTTTTATGGCAAGAGGAGAAACTAGCGAGGTAAGATCTTATGACTGTGAAAGATGTAATGAATTGCAGGACATTCTTGATTCCACCTTAAAAGAGTCTCAAAAAATAATGAATGAGCTTAAGAAACTCACTATGGAAATCAAAGACTGGAAACTCAAACATGAAGTATGTGAAATTGAAAAAGATGTACTTCAAGAGGAGTTTGAGGAATGGCAAATGCAGCTTAACAGCTTGCGCAAATCCACCAGTCACAGTTCTGTTAGGTCAAACCAGACAACTTACAAGTCAACTGGAAAAGAACCAATCAGGACTAAATCGACCAGTCGGTCGGACCAGTCGACTTACAAGTCAACTGGAACGGAATCAGCTAATCTCATGATAGTTAGTTCCAACACTTATGGAAGACCTGAAAATAGGTCTAGGGCTAAATGTCATTACTGTAATAAAAGTGGGCATAAATACTCTGGTTGTCACTTTCGTAAATTTCTTATGTCTAGATGGGTTTGAAAACCTAAAAATTCTGAACCCAGTAACACTAACTCACCAGGACCCAAGCAAGCTTGGGTACTTAAAAGAAAGTGATAATTATGTATTGCAGGAACACCACAGAGTAAGCCACAAAGGAAAATGGTATCTAGATAGTGCGTGTTCCAGTCACGTGACAGGTGACAAAAATCTTTTCAAGGAGGTTACAAAGATTGATGGAGGAAGCGTCAAATTTGGAGATGATTCAAGAGGCAAAATAGTTGGCACTGGAACTATTCACTTTAACAACAACTGTGACATTACTGAAGTATATCTTGTTGATGGACTAAACTACAATCTTCTCAGCATAAGTCAACTCTGTGACTCAGGATATGAGGTAAAATTTAAGAGAACAGGTTGTGCCATCGAAGACGAATCAGGTAAAATAATTCTTCCTGGAAAAAGGTACGGAAATATTTACATACTTGATGGATTCGAAAATATAGATGGTCACATTTGCCTAACTTCTATATCTGATGATCCCTGGTTGTGGCACAGAAGACTAGGTCATGCCAGCATGGATTTGATTAAAAAATTATCCAAACATGATTTAGTTATTGGATTACCCAAACTGAATTTCTCTAGAACTCATATTTGTGATGCATGTCAGATGGGTAAGCAAACTAGAAATTCTTTCAAAAACAAAGACATGGTGTCTACTTCAAAACCATTGCAATTACTTCATATGGATTTATTTGGACCTACTAGAACTGCTAGCATAGGAGGCAAGAAATATGCTTTTGTTATTGTTGATGACTTTTCACGTTTCACCTGGGTGATTTTCCTGTCTCATAAAGATGAAGCCTTAAGAAATTTTGAAGTCTTTTGCAAAAGGATTGAAAAAGAAAAAGGTTATCTGATCTCAAATAACTCTCTTCATTCTACTGCAAACAAGCATAGTAGCCTACATAGATCTGCTGTGTAATAAGTCAGGGATAGAAAGAGGGCATACAACTGGTGAGGCATTGTATCAAACGAGTGCTAGAGAATCTGAGCGATATACATCACATCTGTACTCGAAAGAAAACTTATTTGCTTGAAGAGAAATCCCTTGCAACCCAAGGGGACTGGATTAGGATTCACATTGAATCCGAACAAGTATAAAATTCCTGGTGTCTTTAATTTCTGCATTTACTTTCTGCATATTACATCAAACTATTATATCTGCAAGATTGCCATATTTAGTTGACTACTAAAGTTTTAAGTCAACTCATATTTCAATTAGTGACAATTCAACCCCCCCTCCCCCCTCTTGTACTTTCATAAGAATCTCATTCATCAATTTGTCTCTTCCATGCACTCTGAGTTTTCCATGAAGGATTTGGGTCCTTTGAGATATTTTCTTGGCGTGGAATTAGTCCCGAATTCAGATGGTCTTTTGTTGTTACAGCGTAAGTATATCAATGATATTCTAACACGCTTTGATTTAGCCCAATCAAAGCCTGTTCTTACCCCTCTTCACAGCAAGATGGACTGGAATTCTGTTGAGAGTCCATTGCTTGATGATGCTTCTATTTTTCGACAAATGGTTGGTAGCCTTCAATTCTTATCTTTTACAAGGCCAGATATCCAATTTGCAGTTAACCTTGCTTCACAATTTCTTCACAAGCCTCGCCAGATTCATCTACAAGCAGTCAAGCGCATCTTTCGCTATCTCAAGGGCACTATTAGCAATGGACTACAGCTTTATGCCCGTTCTCCTTTGTCTCTTACTATATATTCTGACTCTGATTGGGTTGGATGCACAGCCCCTAGGCGATCAACCTCTGGTTTCTGGTTTCTGTATCTTTCTTGGTGATAACTTAATCTCTTGGGCAGCGAAGAAGCAACCTACTGTGGCTAGATCAAGTATTGAAGCTGAGTATAGAGCTCTAGCTACAGCAACAGCGGAGGCTACTTGGTTGCAGTTTCTTCTTCGTGATCTAGGCATTTTTCTTAAAACTCCTATGCTGGCTAAGTGTGATAACATTGGTGCTATACATTTAGCTCATAATCTTGTCTATCATTCTCGTACTATGCATGTGGCTTTTGATTATCATTTTATTCGTGAAAAAGTGGATCAAGGCAATCTCATTGTTTCTCATGTTCACACATCTCAGCAATTGGCAGAATTGTTCACCAAAGTACTTTCTTCTACAAGGTTTCAGGATCTTCTCAACAATCTTCATGTCCGTTCCTCCCCTTCAGATTGAGGGAGGGTGATAGAGATAGCTTTTATATTATTTGTAATTATCCATTTATGTAGTTATCTTGTAGAATCCTTGTATAACTTGTACTCTCATATAAGAATAAATACTGGTGATGTGACCAGTGTTGGCGTAACGCCTCTGGCGGGGATGATGGTGCTGAGTTATGTTGAACTGTTGTCGATGCATTATGGGAGATGTGGTTAGGAGATGGTGTAATAAATAGGAGTATATTTTGATGAGAGTGTGTATTTATAAAGTGTTGCGTGAATGTGGAGGGTAGCCCTTGTTCTGTATGGCTTAGGTTCTCACAAGGAAAGTGATGATCACCCTATTGAGGTGGAAGTTCCAATGTGCAAGCAGTGGATGTTGTAATTTTTAGGGTAGTTTGGGTAGTGTCATGAGTAGAGTTTGTGATGGTAGTGACTGGAGTTGATGGTTGTTTTGCAGTATGGGTGTGGATACGATTCTGTGTAGATGTAGGAGGAGTAAGTAGCTGTGACAGTGGTTCCTTGTGCAAAGGATGCATGGAAGGTGGTGTGCTAAGCTCTTAAGGTGATAGCGTGTTAGATGGAAGTGGTGTGTCGTCATAGATGGAGTGTAGGTCTTGAGGGTCAGCAGTGAATATAGGGGAGGTTTGGTGATAGTGAATGTTTAATGATTATGAGGTCCTAGATTTTGGTGAATAGTCCATCATTTTTTGTTGTTGAGATTTACGGACTAAGGAATGAAGAGGTGGAGAAGTGATGGGATTTTTTGCTAAAGCAAAAGTAAAGTCTATTTGTGTAGCGGCAGTGGATGTATTTGTATTTCTAGTATAATTGACTGTGAAAGGAGGTGAGACTAGGGTATGGTGATCGGCTGGAGAAGTAACAGATAGCATATTAGTAGGGTGATCGAATAGGGTTTCAGGGGGAATGCAAACATATTTGTTAGGGCTATATGATTTTGTGGAGAATCTTGTAAGTGGGCCTCATTGTCAGAATGTGTGCAGCTGTATTTTTAGTTTTAAGGTTAGTGTAAGATATTTTTTTGCCAAGTAGTTTCACAATAACTAATTGGTGCCAAGGTCGGTATAGTCTGGTTTTGTCATCTGAGGAAATAGGAATGAAGTGGGGATGATGATTGGATGGGTTAGTTTGCTCATCATGTAGAGATAACTTGTTTAAAAATGCTGATTCAAGGTCAGTGGGTGTGGCAGACGGTGGTGAAGAGCGAGTGTCACTGTAACTTACCTTGTCAGTTGATGGAGGTTATGTGGAAGACATGGAAGTTTGTTTTGGATTGGCTGGGGTAACCGGTGACTTGTTCTTTGGACTTTCTCTTTCTTCTTTTTAGAGAGAAGGACTCTTTTTGTAGTATAAAGTTAGGAACTTTTATTCAACTACAATTCCTTCGAAATTGTGGAAGAAGGAAATATATCGATTTTTGTTGTGAAATTTTTTTTACGAAAACTTTGCTACATATCAAATAGGAGTACTAGAAAAAGAAAAAAGAACCTCTGAACACTTTCTCGTCCTCTCTAATAATCAAATGATAGCAAAACAACATTCTGTTGTTAATTTAATTCCTTATAAATATGTCCGATAATCTTATTTCATTTATGTTAAGTAACGAAATAACTTTGAACACTTAATTCTCCTTTCTGATAACCAAACAGTAGCAAAACAACATTTTTGTTGTTAATTTGATTCCTTTGAAATATGTTTGTTCATCTTATTTCTTTAATGTCAAAGTATCGGAATAAATTTTTAGGAAAACTAAATATTATTCTAAACGTAAATATAAAAATTATATTTTCAATAATGGACGAAATTGTGCTCAAAGTGCCTAACAACTCCTAATTTCAATAAACATATATACTGACTATAATTATATTTTATATAATATGAAATACACTTACGAATAAACAAATCTAATCTACAAGTTAAAAGGAAAAATAGAACATTTGATAATAGGTGAATTTAACTATAATTAGGCCCTAAAGAACCACTTTCTTGTATAGTTTTGATGATAAAAGTGATAACAAAATGCTCTGATTAGTGCTTTTCATGCTTTGAAGGTGATATATGACACGAGAAGGCTATGGAGTACTTTTGGGATCAAATATGGAGAAAAAGAAGCCAATCGTAAAATTTTGCTAAGTAAACCAAGCGAAGCAGCTCAAGCCAGGCCTGAAGAAGGACTGCTGCGGTTCCACCGCGACCGCGGCAGAACCGCGGTGGAAGACTGTCGCGGATAAGTTGAGATTCAGAGAAGGTGTGTGGCCGCGGTTTGACCGCGACCGCGGCAGAGGCGGAAAAGTTCAGGGACTTAAGTGCAAAACACGGGATTTATAGCCCAAACCCCTATTTTAAATACTAGACTTCGCCCAAAGGAGGCAAGAATTGTATTGGAGAATATTGTAGCAAGGAAAACAATTGTGAGAGATCACCTAAAACATCATATCTTCTTCTTTAATTTTTATTGCAATTATGATTATAAATATTGTTCTAGTTGATTTACCCATAGTCATGAGCAGCTAAATCTTTTGTCTAGGGTTTTGATGGAACCTATTGAGGGATGAACTTCTTGTTTATGTGAATACAGTTTGCCAGTTTAATTTCTATTTGTTCAACTACGTGTTTGTTGTAGTTAATTGACAGGATCCTCAATTAGTTGTGCCTATTTAGTGTGCATAACTCGGGAGAGAGTGCATATTTAGGTTATTGTTGAACAACACCACTCCCAAGGTATAAGAGGGATCTATAACTGCGGGTTTAAAGGCGGGATTAGGAATAACAAAGCCTTGGGTGCAATCTTAAGTGAATTGTGATAATTAAAGCTAGCTAGTGTATCTCGGGATAGTGCGTTTAGTAAATTACTGTGATTACTCGGGAGAGATTTACGGTAAGAAGAGCGTTCATGATTGATAGAATGTGTTGGTGAATTTGTATGAAACATAAACAGAAGGAATTCCATCAATAGGGGAAATCAGTACCTTAGCGCTTTCTCATTATTGTTTACAGCTTAGCATCTTTAATTTGCAATTATTAGTTACTGTTAATCTTAGTTATTAAAAAAAAACACCATCAACTGTGATTCTCAACGTTTGGGAAATTGATTCTAAAGAGTTTAGTAGGTCTAAAGATAGTGATTGATAAGTTAATTCTCTGTGGATTCGATTCTGGGCACAATACTCAGGTTATATTTGCAGCGTCCGCATTGTCCTTTTTATAAGGCATAGTTGGGCATGATCAAATTTTGGCGCCGTTGCCGGGGAATTAACGGAATTATCGATTACCATTGATAGAAATACAAAAATTCTTAGTGTGGTCAGTTTTCTCTCTACCCAATTTTTCATTGAAATTTTGACGGTTGTTGATCTGGTCGCACAGGTGTATGCCTAGAAATTCTACGAGGACTGGAGAACTACTTGAAGGACTCTCGGACCCCGAGAAAATATTTCGGACATTGAACTGTGCCAATAAAAGACTTCAACAATCCCAACAAACACACAAATTCGAAATTGACATGGGAGACGTAAACGACCCCAACGGAAACGTCAGGAATGAGCAAGTTGGCTTAAATGCCAGAGAAGTGGCACCTCCTGTGCCTGAGGGTACACTATATGACTGGGCACAACCCACAGCTGACAATCTGGCCACTGCCATTGTTGTGCCCGCAATACAAGCTGAATCGTTCCAGATCACAAATAACATGCTGCACTTGTTGCAAAACAGGGGACTCTTTTCTGGGACGCAAACAGAAGATCCTCAGCAGCACTTGAAGAACTTCCTGTCTATCTACAAAACTCAAAGGCAACCCAACGTGACTCCGGAAGCAACCAGACTGTTATTGTTTCCATTCTCGGTGACAGGAGCTGTTCAGGTTTGGCTAAACTCACTCCCCATAAACTCTATAGAAACTTGGGATGAGTTAGTCGAGCAATTTCACAACAAGTTCCACCCGCCCAACAAAACTGCTCAACAAATTGACGAGATCGTGAGCTTCAAACAGAAACCAATGGAGACACTGCATGAGACATGGGGCAGGTTTAAAGGAATGTTGGTTATGTGTCCCCACCACGGTGTTCCAGAACAGATGTTGGGACAACGGTTTTACATGGGACTGTCAGACAGCATGAAGAATATTGTGGATGCCTCAGCTGGTGGGGCATTCTTGAGCAAAACCTGGAGAGAAGGCCAGAATCTGCTTGCCAAGATGGCACAGAATTCGGGGTGGACGACCAGGAATGCACCTATCACTCTAGTGGTGCACTCAGTGCCTCTTGATCCCTCAAATACCATGGCTGAAAATATGGCGACCCTCCTGACACAGATGAGCATACTCACCAAAAAGGTTGAGGAATCAAGGCAGAAACAGCAAGTACATATTGTAGACACTACCAACGGGGGCTTGTGCACATCTTGCATTAGCCAGCCAATCGGTAATCCTTGGAACGCAGAACATGATCATCAGCATCAACAACCTGAGGACATGAACTATGCGTCCAACTATGGAGGCCAGAGACAGGGCAATCAGAACTGGGGCCAGCAAAATCAGCAGCAATATAGGCCGGCGCAGCCACAGTTTAACACAGGAAACATGGGAGGTATGAGACCCCCCAACAATATGGCACCTTATCCCAGGCCACAGGGGTACAACAATCACAATCAGCAGCAAGGGTATCATCCACCTCAGCAGCAGCATGGTGGAAGACAAGAAGATGGGTTTTCTAGACTGGAAGCAATGATGCAGCAGGTTATCGGGTCCAATGCCAAAATCAATGAGAGAGTAGATGCACATGATGCAGCAATCAAAAATATTGAAGTACAAATGGGCCAGATTTCAATGTCTCTGAACAATCGTCCTTTTACCTGCAGACACACAAATAAATCCAAAAGATCAGGGCCCAAAGCAGTTGATGGCGGTGAGTCTCCGTAATGGCAGGGATCTGGATATAAAACAAGAGAGGGCTCGAGAAAATATTCAGGATGAGACACTCATACCGGTGCCCATTGAGC